CCCCAAAACCCCAAAACCCCAAAACCCCGCATGATATCTTTTTTATAGCTTTTAAAATTAATAATAATTTGGACATAATAGAATGGATTTTTAATAGTTATTACTCGAATATAAATTTAAGACTACAGAGAAAAAGAAAGGTCAGTTCTGGTGGAAAGAATAAGCATGGAATAAGACTGATCACAAAGTTAAAGTAAGGAAAGACAAGGTAGAAAGATCTTTTTCTAGATAAGATTATGTACTATCTATCTCTGGAGGTTTTGATGCAAGCTTTAATTGGTTAGTTACCAATAATGTCTTAAATGGAACTCCTGTTTGTGAAATTTGCTGTGCTGAAATGGAGCTTGGTGGAGGTGGTTAAAGATGCTCAATGGATCCAAGAAGTTACAGATGCCGCTAATGCCTAACTAAAACTAGTCTGCGACATAGATCATATGTCTAAGATGCTCACTGCACTTTAATGGAGTTTGTTAGAATAGCTTACTATTACTTTTTAAAAGGATATGATCCAGATTTGGCCCATAGAGAAATGACTGAAAATGCATCTGATGGAATTGGTGCAGGGATCGCAAAATCAACGATTTATAGTATTTATGCTCTTGCAAGAGAACGAATATCTAGACATGCTACTTACTCTGTTCAATCTAAGAAATTTGGAGGACCAAAGAAGGAAGTGTTAGTTGATTTCTTAAAGCTTCATTTAAGAAACAAGAAAGGAAGATCTGAGGAGTGGCTAGTGCTTGGCTTTATTGAAAGAAATAGTGGCAGATGTAGAGGATATATGATCCCAAATATCAAGGTTTAAACAATAGTGTAATTTTTGGGAAAAACAGTTGCAAAAGAGTCCATTTTATACACTCCATTTTATTCTGAAAGTGGTTGGGAATTTTTAGATAAGTATTTCGATCATAGAAGATTAAGAAAGACAAAAGCCAATGATTATTTCACTGAAACCCAAAGCTGGTTAAAAGAATCGGGATTTGATAAAATGTGGAGGAATGTTAAAGATTTAGAAATGAGCTATCTAAAGTTTTAAACAAATATGAGAAGATATGGTAAAATTCATGAAAATCTGCAGATGTACATAGATGAATAAGTGTTTAGGACTGAGAATAACACTCTTGAGGAAAAAAGAGAGGCTTTATGTTAAGCATTCCATGTGGATCATTGGAAGGAGTAAGAAGAGTAAAAAGATAAAGAGCTAGGTATTGGTGGTGGTTATGGGTAATTTGGTATTTTAAGTGAGGAGGAATTCCTTAGATTATTAAAGACTACAGGAAAAAGAGTCTAAAAGTTTCATGATCATCCTGACGAATTCAAGAATCAGTTTTATAAAATAAAATATCCCAAAAAAGATGATGGTATACGTTTAGTAGTCTCGAATGAAGATTAGGATGATTGCTCAAATGAGCCTGGTGCCGATATAGACAAGCCCTTAATGAGATTACCTGGTGAATTGGATGAGCAAATAAACATTTATGACATTGCAAAGAAGAGATTCAACATAGAAAAAGATAAAGAAGTTCAGAGAATTCAGCATGAGCTGTAATAGCTTTAGGATAAAGAAATAAATCCCTTAGAAGATTTGTTTTGAAGTGAGGGTAATGAATAAGATTAAGGAATAAAAGAGTTAATTAAAGAAATTAAGAGATTAATTAATCATTTAAGCTTGTAAGATGAAACAACCATTCTTCTGGTCTTTAGCTTTTGTCTTACCTATTCATCAGTGATAACATGCTTGCCCTTATACTGCTATTGCTTCTTTATCTTTTTAGAGCTTTCACTTGTTTATGGAGTGTTAAGATTTCTTATCGCTCCTTTTCCTAGAAGAATTTTATCTTTATTTTGCTTTTTATACTTCTTTTTATCTTTTTTATTAAGTTTAGATTAGAAATCATCTTCATCATCACTATTCTTGCCATCATCACTTTCATCAACTCCCCCACTAAATAGCTTATTTAAGTTTTATCCTTTGGATCCAGTCTTAGCATCATCATCTGAGTCTTATCCATTTATTGAGTCCATATCCTCTTCTCTATTTCCTTTCTTAGACTCTTGTGGTTTGATCAATTTATAGGCTTCTGAATTTTTATCAATTTTAAATTCAGTATCATTAAACATTCTGCCGAATCTTGAATCCTCCATCAGCTTATCAACAGCACTGCCTTTCTTACCTTTCTCTTTTTACTCTTGTAATTCTTTAGCATATTCCTTATTTACTTAAGCCATTTTATTTGGTATTTGAATTCTCTTTTCTCTCAATTGATTTAATTTTTGACTAATCAATTCTTTTCTATATCTGTCATAAGCGAATGGATCTGCTACACTAAGTAATTTCTAATAAGCTCTCATCTCAATAAAGTAACCATGCATATGAGCTCTTAACATTGGAGTTCCTACCAGATGAGTGGCATTCAGCTATTAGAGTTCATTCATTGTGAGGAACTTAAAGTCTTCATAGACAGATGTCTCCTTGGACTCCTCCATTTCTTCAGTAAGATTTTCAAGGAAAGCACACCATTTGGGAGCGTTACCTAGACTTGGGATGAAATATGTACCAATCTTTTTCTATTCTTGAGGTGCAAAAATAAGACCAGTATCTGCACAAAGCTCAAAAGAATTGATACCAGTTTTAGGTTCAATATTAGTAAACAAACGACCAGAATCCTTCTCATAGATTTTTATGATCTTCTTATCTGATGATACAATCTTTCTTGAAGCTTTATGGAATGCAATAGTATTTATAGGCTATCTATAATGATGATTCAATGTCAATAATGGCAATGGATATCTCATATCGTACAAAAGCACTTTTCCTTTTTGAGTACCAATAGCAATATTCAAGGAGTCTTATTCAAATTTGATAGCAGTAATCTCTTCATCCTATAAGTTGATACTACTTGGTGTCAATGCACATACTCTGTTTCTGGTATCCATATTCCAAAACTCAACCTTTCCATCAATACCTCCAGTTGCAATAACATTAAGATCAGGACTATAATCTACACAATTAATCTCAGGAGATTCACTTATTAATGTGGTGTTGAATCTGCCAAGGTCTAAATTCAATCTGTATATTTCATTTGTCGCACCTACAGATATTAAATCACATGAATGAGGTTAGTATATCATATCTCTACCAAACTTAGGAATTCTTATCTTGAAATGTCTACCATATTAAGCATGTAGCTCAATTGTACGATCTGCACATAGAAAAGCCAGCTTTGAATAATCAGAAGAGAGTATCTAAAATTGGACGACCTCAGAGTCAAGCCCTCTTTCGCATTTCATGGTTAGTTCTTGAGTATCAAATATTTTAACCATAGGTGCATATATTCCAGTAGCTATAACATAATGCTAATCCTCTGATACCTTAACTCGTTGACAAGATGTATTAAACTCAAAGTCCTAAATTAACTCAATTCTATTTCTGTACTCATCTAACTGTTTTAACTTGATCTTCTTTTTCTTAGCTTCTTCCATATACTCTGGCAAGCTCTTACCGCTGGAGAGATCATACATCTTAACACTAGAATTGACATAAAAAACTGTAAAATTATAGTACTTACCCATTTAACTCAGACACTTTCATTATCTAATAGCTTTACAAAATAAATATTTAATTAAACACCTTGAAATCACTTAATATATTGTCATGGGGTTTTGGGGTTTTGGGGTTTTGGGG